CTTTTATTGGCTTTCAGTATTTGTTCAACAGCTTTGGATGCTTCAGCTTCTGGAGTGCTACCACACACCTGGCTTGCATCTGTGTTTATGAAGAATTTTTTTGGTAATGTCTTGCCAATTTTTGGTATTGGGGTTATGCTGGCTTGTTTTTGTAAGATTAATGTCATTCTTGAATATTTGGTAGGGAAACCATCCAGGCTTGAAGTTTTCTTGGTGGGAAATACTAAAAATTACAGGGCTACTCGGCTCAGTGGCACATGTCTGTAAACCCAGCTCTTAGGAGACTGAAGCAGAAGCCTCAGTTCAGGGCCAGACTGGCCTACATTCCGGAGACCCGATCAAATCAAAAAGCCAATCAACCAAAGCTGGGTGTGGTGTCACACACTTATACAACAGTCCCAGCACTCACAAGGCCAAAGTAAGAGGGTTGCTGTGAGTTCAAGGCCAACCTGGGCTACATAGTGAGTTCAGGGCCAGCATGAACTAACTACATAGTGAGTCCTCACTCAAAAGACCAACAAAAGGAAGGAAACAGCAACCAATCAAAAATTACAGAGCTTTTACCTAGCATGTACAAAGCCCTTGGTGCCATCCCCAGTACTGGAAAATAAACAAAATGAGGAGATTGTTTTGGACTAAGCTCCTGCATAGACCAAGCTAAAAATAAAAATGGGGCTGGTTATGGTGGCACATGCCTGTCATTCCTGCACTCTGGGAAGCTGAGGCAGGAGGATATAAATTCAAGCACAGCCTGGGCAATTTAGTGACTTAGCAAGACTCTCAAAACAAAAAGGGTTAAGCATATAGCTTTTTGTCAAGGCCCTGCAAACCCCAGTACTGCCAAAAAAAAAAAAAATTAAAATTAAGCCATGCTGAAATTGATTGCCAAGCTCAGACAAAGGTGTTGATCTGATGTGAGAAATCAAGTTTAAAGAGTAAACCAACTTACTGTTTATTTCTTTGGGGAAGGGGATGCTGAGAGCTGAACCCTGAGCCTTTTTTCTGGGCTAAGTGCCCACTCTACTTCTGAGCCAACCAAAATGGCCAGTCTCAGTTGGTGTGGTAGTGAGTTCTCTCTTACACGGAGAGAGAAACCTGGAGTAACCTAATGGTAACTAGGAATGTTCCTGTGGTTCTGTCTCCCTGTCCCTGCTTTACAAGGAAATTGACTGATCTTTCTCCTTTTGTTTCTGCTTCTGCTACCAGAGTTCTGGGACTCCGGGGGTCCCCAGGCTCAGCCACTCCTCCATAACACAAGTCAAGGAGAAGAGCCTGGGGGAAGGACAGGACAGGAGCTTTGCTCAACACAACTACGCCATGAAGCATAGATACAGAAGTTCTAGTCTGTCTTCCAGGAGTTGCTAGAAACTTTGGGGTTTTTACAGAGAAGGGGAACAAAAGCAAGGACTGAGGGTTCTTATAGCCAGCACATAGGTGATCCCCAGGCAAGTCCTGGTCTGGTCGATCAGTGTCTCGACAGATTCTGTGCAGTCGTGGGAGGGCCTTCGATGCTGGAGGGTCAGGTGGTTCCCATCATGACGGGATGCACTCAGCGGGGTGACTGGGCTTAGGACAGAGGCCGGGGACTTAGTTGTGCTGCAGGGCAGGGATGGTGACCACCCACACTGCAGCCAAAACCCATTTACTTACGGCAGTGTACCAACACTGCAGTTAAACCTAAATACTGAGTTTTAGTTTAGAAAAAAACAACTCGTATATTAACATCTTTTGCTTTAAAAGCAAATCGCCACCAGTGCTCCAGGGGATCTGGAACTGGACTTTGTAAAAGCTGGAGATTAGTCCTGCAAAACCTGAAGAGTGCCTTGGTTACCCCTATTTTGGTGCCTCCAGTCTTGAAGAGGGGTGAGACAGGCTGGGTAAATTAGGGCTAATCAACCTTGAATACACTGCTTACAAATATGATAATCAAACATGTATAATTAACATGCCTACGAAAGATCTGATCCAAAGTTTTGAGATAATAAGAGACATAAAACAAAGACAGAAAGCCAGGCGTGGTGGCACATGCTTGTCATCCCACAACTTGGAAGGCTGAGGCAGGAGCATAGCCGTGAGTTCGAGGCCAGTTTGATGCCAGCCTGGACTATATATCAAGACTGTCTCAAAACAGAACAGAACAAAGGCAAAGATGACAAGCTTTATCCAGCTGTTACCCATTGAACATCTGCAGACTCAGCCTCCAGGTCCCTACTAAACTTCCAAGCCTTCCTCTGTCTATAAAACCTACATCCTTTGCTCTCACCCTCAGAACTTTTATTCTGTTTTATGAGATTCAGTTGCCTAACTCTAGATTTGGAAATAAAACTAATGAAAATCTTCATATCCAGTCTCTTTCTCTCTCTATATATATTA